ATAGATTAGAATATTCTGAGATAGATAGATCTGATGATCCTGAGAAAGAGATAGATAGATAGAGAGAGAGAGAGAGAGAGAGAGAGAGAAAAACTGAGATAGATAAATGAAAAGAGTGCAAAAGATAGCTATGAAAAGACTGCGATAGATAGATAGATAGATAGATAGATAGATAGATAGATAGATAGATAGATAGATGTAAAAACTGACATAGATAGATGTGAAAAATGAGATTTATTACAAAACATTGCTCGAGATAGATAGATAGATAGATAGATAGATAGATAGATAGATAGATAGATATGAAAAGACTGCGATAGATATGAAAAGACTGAAATAGATAGATAGATAGATAGATAGATAGATAGATAGGAAAAGAGTGAGATAGATATGAAGAGACAGCGATAGTTACATAGATAGATATGAAAAGACTGAGAGAGATACATGTAAGTCAACTTCTTCCTTTGTTTAGTAACTTTCAGATCAGAACTATAAAACAAGCGGATGATGAAAAAAGACCTTCGCCATTTTAAGATAATAAAACTTGCTTTCAGAAAGTTTTTATTTTTTTCAGTCTGGATTTAATCCTTCTCTAAAGTCAATATTTTCTCGCTCACTAATGTCTTTTCGTTGTCTATAGTTTGGGCTAATGGATTTATGTCTACACCTTGAAAAAAATAAAAAAAAAACATAATAACATTCTAAGACTGTGAGTAATCATATGTAAATAAAATAATACCAGTACAAATGCGAATGGAACATAATATTTTTAAGAGTATCCTCAATGTAAACAGGTTTACCTGTTGACAAAAAGGGATTTGTTCACATCACCAGTTTCTATCTTTTTATGCTTAATAAGATTTATCTTTTCGTTGTCGCTTCCAATATCTGATTCGCCGTCCATTTGCTCTTTGAGTGTCGCATTCACCAAGACCACTTTCCTCATTATGCGTCCTAGAAATTACAACTGTCTCTTTTTGAAGCGTTCTATTTGCTTGCATTTTCATTAAATCCTTCTCGTTGTTCACATTTTCAATTAATAATGTTGTGGCCTGTTTAGGAGCCAGAAAGAAAGACACGGAAGACGAAGGTAGGCTGAACAAGTGTATTGGAAATAACAGATGTATACAAAGCAAGAGTGTTAGTAATAAGCAGATAGAGGTGGACGTCCGAACGGTAGGTTAACATTGCGTCTCACGCTCCCAACGACGCTATTTAGTAGCTGCCCAAGCAGTCACATGTGGCACAAAGCCGAATTTAAAGTGGGGTTCCCGAGCCCAGAGGCTCGGCCCCAAAAATCCCCGTAGACTCCGCATAAACGGGATCGGGTCTCTCTACCCAGTGAGAATCGAACACACTACTCAGTCGTAATTATTCTAACGAGACTAGCTTGCTAACCATTACAACACCTCGAGGTGCCCTCACGCTACTTAGTAACTGTCCCACGCAGTCACATGTGGCACAAGGCCGAATTTAATTATGGGGTTCCCGAGCCCGTAGGCTCTGCCAAAAATCCCCGTAGACCCCGCATAATCGGGATCGGGCTTGTCTACCTCCCCGGACGAAACTCTGCCCTTCGGCATAGCCTCATCCGGGTTCCTCTCTGCCCAAAGGCAGAGAGTTCGACTAGCGCAGCTGGGGAAGATCCCAGCTCGACTCTAAGTGATTTTCTAAGCGGCGCTTAGATGGGGCACAAGGTCAAAATTAGGGAGGCACCCAGTGAGAATCGAACTCACTACTCAGTCGTAATTATTCTAACGAGACTAGCTTGCTAGACATTACACCACCTCGAAGTGCCCTCACGCTCCCAACGACTGCCCAAAGAGGTCTCGCAGTGAGGATTTATGAGAGAAGGAGGGCATACCACAAGAATTAATATTCTCAACATCCTTCTGTTGAACCTTATTTCTTTGGTTCCAGAGTGTCCAGCATAGGAAGACTTTTTCACTGTTTTTCTTTTTTGTTTCTTTCTTACGAAATTTTCTTGGATTTTACCGCTTTGCTTAGCTTTAGGGAGGCATCTTTCACTTTTCTGATGTAACTTCAGACGTTAGTGTTATATTTGCCCTCCTCTGTTAGAAAACTCTTCCCCGATATTTAAATTTTTATCCTTGTTTGATTTTGATATCCTTAGTTGGTATCTCACATCTGAGCTGTTTCACACGCTGACAACTGTATATTCTGTTTTACAAGTGACAGTTCCTCTTTTCTTCTCGTTTTCCTTTCGTCCTCTTAGGAATTACTTCGGTTGCCATTCTGAGCCGAATATCAACTGTAATTTATATATATTTTTAATCGTTTCACCTCAAGCAAAGGAAATAATAATAAAAGACGAAAGTGATTACTGACTGTGAGCGAATATGAAAAAAAGGAAAACGTTATTAAGGAGATAAAAAAATATAAAAACAGAAATTACGGAAAAAGAAGAAAACGTTTGATAGCTTTTAAATTTTTCAAGTGTGTGAGAAGAAACTATTATCATAGAAGTTACGGTTACAATTAGCCATTTCAACTGTAAAATATCGCCAATCCAGTATCTGTCTATATTTCTGAGATGAGGTATTATGTACATTATTTACATTATTCGGGCTATTGTCATCATCTTTGTTGACATATTTATTACAACGTTTCGGCCTTTCAGTATCTGTCTATATTTCTGAGATGAGGTATTATGCACACTATTTACATTATTCGGGCTATTGTCATCATCTTTGTTACCATATTTATCACAACGTTTCGGGCCTTCAGAATCTGTATATATTTCTGAGATGAGGTATTATGTACATTATTTACATTATTCGGACTATTGCCCTCATCTTTGTTGCTATATTTATTACAATATTTTGGACTTTCAGTATCTGTCTATATTTCTGAGATGAGCCATTTTGTACACTATTTAAATTAATCGGACTATTGTCCTCGTCTTTGTCGCCATATTTATTGCAAAGTTTCGGCCATTGTAACCTCCGGCCTTCTTCGGGTGGTTGAAATGTTGAACTGAACCCTTTATTTCGCTCACTGGGGTAGATTGTTCTAGTGTGTGTGTGTGATTGTGATATATATATAAATACGAGAATCATATAATGTAACTAAAATTAAATTGAAATTGTACAAATTAAATAAATAACAATTTATATTTGCAATATACGTGTATATATATATATATATATATATATATATATATATATATATACACGTGTACATTATATTTGAAATATATTATATAGTATATATATTTATTATTTATATTTGAAATATAATATATATATATATATATATATATATATATATATATATATATATATATATATATATGAAACATCAATGAAAGCATTTACATTAGAAATAAAAGCATTTTTGAGCGCGCGTGGGAGCATGAGAATACACGTGTCGACTGCTTATTGGAAGTCTGCTCTTGAACGAATGTGCGTCATTAACAGATTTTTTTAAAAAAATGCAAATATCAGAAAAACGGTCATAAATATTTTAACACTTGGAAAATGGTTATGAACCACGAAAATACGTAATCAATAGAGGAATAAAAATCATTCAAAAATGGATATTAATTTACAGAAGAAATAAATTTTTACGCTGTGCTATATTTATATGATAAAGTGCCCAATATCATAGATAGAGCGTGTGTAAATATAAAAGTGAACATTGAAAACAACACTCAGAGGCGACAGGCTGTTTCATGCGAGACGCATTCGTCAGGCAGCCTAGCATGAAACAGCCTGTGGCCTCTGATTGTTGACTTCAATGTTCACTGTCATATATATATATATATATATATATATATATATATATATATATATAACTTGATTTCATCCTTATTTTATCCTCAGGTGAACTCCCAATGCTTTATTTTCTTTAAAAAACAAACAAAAACTAATGAAAGCAATATAATTATTTAAAAAAAATAGATAAGCTCACGCAAGACGTTGGGTGTAATAGAAAAGAAGAAGAAGAAGAAGAAGAAGAAGAAGAAGAAGAAGAAGAAGAAGAAGAAGCAAGTGTAATGTAAATGTATCGGCAGGGGGTTAATTAAAATGTACACTACTTTTTTATCCAGCCTCATATGCGCTTAAGAGAAAACTTCAAAGATGTAAGGACGTAAACCTTCGGATTTCTAGTTTAAAAAGTTCTTTGCATCCAGAAATATCATAATCGCTAATTATTCCTTATAATAATAATTATTATGTTGCAAATATAGTTGTGATTGTTGTAAGGCGTTGGCTTTTTATAAACTTTTCCACCTTACAATCGGTTCCCTGTTTTTTTTGTTTGTTTTTAAATTTTTTTTTTCAAATTCCATACATACTAATTTGGTAGAGTACCTATTTGCTAGCATAAATGACGACATATGATTGTACCATCTGCGTCTGAAAGTACCTTCCGTACATCCTATGTAGGTTTTATTTTAACCATTAATATCTATATTATATATACCATTAACTATATATATATATATATATATATATATATATATATATATATATATATATATATATATATATATATATATATATATGCGATGAGAACGAAAGTAATATATAAATTTCAACGTTACTGTAATCGTTTTAAAATGATCAATCACATCTTCTGATATATTCCCTACCCTTTTATGTACCTCTCCACTAATTAAATTATAATTGTTAATTTTTTATATATATATATATTACTGGTAATATTTTCAGATAAATCGTTTTACACCCATACTTATTCTACACGCTGTACAGTCCAGGAATATTTCAAAATTTGATTATAAAACGTTATATTAACATCCCTTATTTTTTAGAGGAAATCATCACTTCTAAATTTTAATCCACAAAACACGTTCATTGATCCCAGAATTAGTAGTGATAACCCCAACATAAATATATGCAATTCAACCCTAGAATTTTTATAGTAAACCAAAAATAACATTCCCAATTACTACTCGAACTATCGCTACAATTTTTACCTACTTAAACGTAATACTATCCCCTATCTCCATCTTTCCTCACCTACCTCTCACTCTTAGGACGCTTGTGAGATGATGTGCCTAAACTTTTGACCGGAGCTTATCGGGAAAAAAATTTCACAGACCTGTCAACATTAAACACGCAATCCATTCTTCACCAAATCTGCTATCAACAAGTTCTGTTGTCCCACTCCGTCACCTATTTTTTTATGTATATTTTTTTTTTCTGAAACAAATGGAAAAAAAAGAAGTGACGTTTCACATACTGCTTGCCTACAAGCAGGTTTGTTCATAAACATTTTCAAATCTCACCCGTCGAACTGCAGTTGAAATGCACTGAAACCAAGTTGCATCTTTGTAGTGAGTCAAATGGTTTTGTCTACATGATAAAATTATAATATATATATATATATATATATATATATATATATATATATGTGTGTGTGTGTGTGTGTGTGTGTGTGTGTGTGTGTGTATAGTTTATGAAAAACTAGGTAATCCGTATAGGTAAACCTAAGGAGGATAAAATCCAGAGAGCTCAATGTAAATTCAGAGCAAATAATTTAAATAAAAACAGACCACTTTAAGATTCCATGTAATAAATTATTTCACCACAGCCCTTTTAAAAGGACTGCGGATCATCAGACTTTACTAATTTACATGGAACCTTAAATATATATATATATATATATATATATATATATATATATAAATATAAAAGTGAACATAGAAGTCAACACTTAGAGGCGACAGTCTGTTTCATGCTATATGCAATCATCAGGCCACATGTTGACTTCTATGTTCACTTTTATATTTACACACGCTCTATCTCTGATATTGAGCACTTTATCCCATAAATATAGCACACCTTAAGACTATATATATATATATATATATATATATATATATATATATATATATGTTTGTGTTTATATATATATGGGCGCGAGTTTTAGAACGTTCTGAGACCCAGGTTCGAATCTCACCATGGTCGATTTGTCAGGAAGGAGATTATCGGTCTGGAGGGGGATGATTCTAACGTGCGGCACCTTTGGAAAGTGCCTGAAAACCATGCCACGTGTTGATCCAAGTCTTCTAAGTGAAATTGAACCATTTGGGGCAGTCGATAGCTGTGCTAGCACAAAGTCAGAAGTCATCGTGACTGAGGGTTTGAGTGTGCTGGTGTTGTTCACATTGTTGATCATTCTAAATAACATTCTCTCTCCCAGAATCTATAACAAAGATCTGATCAGCATAGTTGCAGTATAAACAACGAAAATGTGCCTGAGCGGGACTCGGCAATAGGGATTGGCTAGCCACCCTAGTAGACGGGTATCTTCGAATACGAGTGGCCAACTGTCATATCTATCTATCTATATAACAACGTTAAACATAAAAAAAAAATATATATATATATATTACATGAATCATACATACAAAAAACAGATTAGTGAAGTTAATGATATAAATGGTGAGAATACATCTTCGCAAAAAAAATTATTAAAATTACATTAACCCACGAACTTCTAGATGAATGTTGTGATCCCTGTTTTTAATAAATTCAACTTGTATAAGGTCTTTTTTTGCTAGTACTTTCATCTGTTCATACAGACATCATCAGGCATTGAAATTGATTTGTTTTTAAAATACATCCAGGTAATAACGGGACACGAAAGATTAGATGTGAATCGAAATATGTTTTTTTAGAAATGTGTTATTGTTAACTGTAAGAAATTCTGGAGCATGCTGTCGCAACGCTAAGGTTGAATTTTTTGAAAATTTAAGAGTGTGCGTTTTTTTTACTAATATGGTAATTGGAGAATTCTTTTGTAGTAGTTTTTTTCAGTCGATGTGGCATGAACTAAATCGTTCAATAAATAGAGCTATGTCGCAGCTATTATCCCAGAAGTTGCACGTCGGATCAGTTTTATTAAATCAAATATGTGGTGCAGTTCAATTTATATTACATGAATCAATCATACAAAAAAGAGATTAGTGAAGTTAATGATATATATTGTTGTAGATTCCGGGTTGAAATCCGGTACCAATAAATAACAACCCCAAGAATGAATAAAGGAAAATAATGTATTCCCGTAATAATACAACTGGTAATGCAGGTTAGTAGTTCCAGGAATGCGGGTTAGTAGCAAAATATATATACAGTCTTTGGTATTGAAGTATCGCTGTACGACTTCTTACTGAGTCTACGTGCTCGCTCACGGTGACTCTTGATCGCTACGTTCGTTCTGTCTGTCTGTTACTTTCACCCTCTGTTGCACTCGTCTCTCGGGTCTTCACGTAGCAGTAGTATATGTATATACTGGGTGAGTCCATTTGTGTAAAAAGGGGGAGAACCCTCAATATATATATATATATATATATATATATATATATATATATTTGCATTTCTATAAGTAATATTATGTCATATTAAATAGATAAATAAATTGATTACGCAGCAGATACATGAAGAATATATATCGTGACAACGGTCAGCCATTAATTTTCCTTTTCAATGCCTTTTTATAGTAATTCCAAATTTAGTACTCTAGTCCCATATTAACATCTTTATCAATGTATATGTCTTGGTCATATATAATTTCTATTCGACCATAATACTCGCATTAATGCCTGACAGATAAAAATCCATTTCTTTCCAATTTTCATTCATATTTTACAGAAAGATAGATAGATAGATAGATAGATAGATAGATAGATAGATAGATGCGTCCAGACTAAAATACATAGGTACAAAGAATAAGTTTTATGTCATTTTACAAACAAATGTTTCTCTATTATGTAAATATCGTTTACATCTTAAGTCGGTATAAACATGGCGCAGTCTGTCTAAGTTAAGATTTCAGAGCAGCATTAGATCTTAGCAGAGTTCAGACCAACATTGGATATTAACGTTTATTCCAACTTAATTTTAATAAAAACAAAATAAATAGAAAAACATATGTGTTTTTTCCTCAGTTTCTTCTTTAAATAATTTTATAATTTTAAACTTAATATAGATTAAATTTAAAATTGGTAATTTTGAATTTTGAATTTCGTAGTACAATTTAATATTTATTAGTTAGAATAAATACTATTTTAATCTAAACCTAACATTAACGCATTAAATAATTATTATAACCTAAGTCCGTTGTCAAGTTTTTTTGAATTCTCATATACTTGTATTTTGATTGGTCATTCCATTTCACCTAGCAAGGGATATTTGGTTGATTTGATCCTTTTAAAACCCTTTATTCTACATTCAACAGCATCACTTGATAGGACTCCAGAAGTGTTGAAACAAAATGGCTATTTTTGTAGTGACTTTATAACATATTTATGTAATAATTTTCGAATAAATGATTATATTGCTCTACTCTGTATTGAGCACTCTTTTAAGAATAATATTTGTTCATTATTGGAATTTATTCCGTATACACCAATTCTATACTTGTATATATATATATATATATATATATATATATATATATATATATATATATATATATATATATAAAGAAATTATACGTAAATAATTTTTTTTAAAATTACAATCTAAAAATATTTTCTAGTGTTAAATAACCTGCAAAGTGTTCATAAGCCGTAGAAAAAGAATGAAAAATTTCTCACCCATGGAACTCTCTGTCAATTTCCTGTCAACTATAATCTATAAAACTTTAAATGTAACATCAATTGTCATCATCTATCTGCTTAAATCCTATTTTCCTATTTTCCGTTCTCCCCAATAAATTTTTCATAGTTTCCTTCAGTTCCTCTTTGCGTCTAAAGGAAAGTATTGACAAATGATAAATTGAAAAGAAAATTTGCGAATGTATTACATTCGAAGTGCAAATACTTTATTATTGTTATTAATAAATTAATAAACTTTTTTTTAACGGTAAGTGTATCTCGCTTTATCTTTTTCTCATTCAAGTGTTTAATTTCAATGTATCTGTATCTGTATCTTTTCAGTATTTAATGTACGATATTAAATAAGAAAAACTTGTATTTATATATATATATATATATATATATATATATATATATATATATATATATATACAAGTTTTAGCCCCAGATGATGCAAGCGATATATATATATATATTTCACGTAATATTTCAGACAATTAAAAATGTCCTTTGTGTGAATTCCCCGAATTTACCAGTTTCTTTCCACAGTAGGGAAATAGGTTTTGTTGAGTAGATGGAAATTGCAAGATTGGCCATTTATTGGGAACAAAATTATTTAAGCTGTAAATTACCAAATGAATTTAAGATGCTTTGCCCGTAAGTGAAAGATATTTGTTACAAGGGTTTGTATTTATATAAAAATTAATGATCATTTATCTTTTTAGATCGTGGGGTAACTTGCACTTGAGCTGATGGCAAAGCAGCCATTTTTTTCTTAACAAGTTATTATTCCTCGTTTACATCTGCTGTTTTATTTTTTCTGTCATCAATCTTTATTTTTTTTCTCTCTAACTATTTTTTTAAATAAGCCTCGTTAATTTACATTTCGAATTTCAACACACACACGCTCAAATAATTTTTATATACGTATCTACGACAGGCGTCTACAGTAGAGAGTTAGCGAGCGAGATAATATAGCAATGTCTTGGTTTCAATCCACATTGAGTAAAGCACATTAAGGCCTGCTGAGGTCTTTTGCTATATATGTCAATTCCATTCAGGACGTGAGCGATCAAGACACTCTACAGTTTCTGTCTTTTATTGCTCTAAATAAAATTTGACTATCTCCGTTATGTAATATCCCTTCTTTTATATGGCATGGATACGGAACAATTTTCTCTTTCTGAAGACAGGTCTTGTGGGAAACAGAAGTGTGGTTCTACAGAAATATATCTGAGAATCATATGTGCTGAACATGTGAGCAACGATGAAGTTTGAGGGAAAAATGGAAACAAAAAACACTTATACTTAAGATCAGAAAGAAATCATTAAAAATTTCTAGGCCACGTAACGAGGAAAGAGTGCTTAGAAAATTCGACACTTACGGGAGATATTGAAGGCAAGAGAAACAGAGAAAAGCTACCTAACAAGCTTCTGAAAATGGTTGACAGAAATTATATTAGAAGAGATAGTAAAAACACAAACTTTACTAAGAGCCACACTCACACACATCCTAGACGAACATGACAAATAAATTGTTGGTTGATCGTTTTTGTTTGACGGTATATCGACCTCTATGGGTTATTTAATGCTGATATTAAAATATTTTGTATTCAATTTTATTTTATTTTTTATTTTGCTATATAATGGTTTAATAATACAAGTTTTACTAATTAACCCATAGCTGGGGGAAGAGGTGGATTCATACCTTTTGCAAGTGTATCTGCGTGTAAGTGCGTATAATGAACCCAACCGGAACTTGAACCCTGCTCTCCGATTAAAAATTTCCAAGTGATCATCGGCAAATACAAGCTTATAGCGCCTGGTATTCCCAATCGGTCACCCATCTAGATAGTGACGAACTTGACTTCGGTGATCGTAAGGGAGCCGATGTTTCAACGTGACGCGCCCGTGAGCCTATGTCACATAGAAAGAAGAGGGTACGGTGATGAAGGCAGTCACGAAAGCATAACAACCGGACCTCGTAGAAAATTTAATTAAAAGAAGAGTAAGAGCCATTGTAACTAGACAGAATACAAGGTGCTCAAGCAAGACCAATTACCCAAGATGCGTACGAACAAATGGGGGTGTCATAATTTAACAAGCGCTAGAATGTTCTAACAGAGGATGAAAAATATGAGACCGAAATCCGAAGGAGCATTTGGGATAGTAAAAGATGCCTTCCAAAAGCTAAGAAAAGTATGAAGAAATGAAATTTTCGTTTAAAACAAAAAAAATGAGTACTCAACAGATATATAACATTAATCCTCTTTTATGGTAGTGATTGCTGGATAATTGCTTCACAGATGAAGAGAAGACTGTGGAGTTAACAGAAATAAGGTTCTACATTGGGATGATGAGAATATTATGGACGGAGCACATAAGCAACAAAGAGCTCTAGGGGAAAATGGAAGCAAAAAGAACACATCTTTAAAATCAGAACTAGGGAACTTAAATTTTCTGGATCCATAATGACGAAGTTTTGGTTTGGTTTGGTTTGGTTTGTTTTACGGCATATCAACACCTTTATTTAATGCCGACAAAATTTTCATTGTTGGTAATATTTTTTCAAAAAATCTATTTCTGGTAATATTTTTTCCTTAAAAAGTCTGTTTCTGGTAATAATTTTCCTTCACTGATAATATTTGTTTTTAAAAATGTATATATGGTAATATTCATTTTTTTAATGTATTGCTGGTAACAATTGTTTTACAAAGTATTTATGGTATTAAAAATTATTTTTACACTTTCATAGTGTTTTGAACCCAGTTTGGGGTGTTACCTATTTGCCCATACCTGGGACCCTAAAGGTTGCTACAACCCCGGGGTGAACCTGGGAACACCAGGAATTAACAGGTTGTTCCGCGCGCCTCAAAACCTCTTGATCAATGGCCTTGTTGTTAGATGCAGTTTATCGTCTTAACCATGACTTGGAGGTAGTTTATCGTCATTCCCAGGACGCGGATGCAGTTTATCGTCATACTCAGGACGCGGATGAAGTTTATCGTCTTACCCAAGACGCGGATGCAGTTCATCATCTTACTCAGGACACGGATGTAGCTTATCGTCTTACCCAGAACGCGGATGTAGTTTATCGTCTTATTCAGGACGCGGATACAGTTTATCGTCTTACCCAGGACGCGGATGCAGTTTATCGTCTTACCCAGGACGCGGATATAGTTTATCATTATACCCATGATGCGGATGTATTTTATAGTCACACGCAGGACGCGGATATAGTTTATCGTCTTACGCAGGACGATAGAGACGAAGGAGGTCTTGGAAAATATGACGCCTACTGGACATATCAGAAGAATAAAGAACTCATGGAGGAAATCGGCCACCTACCTGAACAACTTTTGTGAATGGATAGTGAAAAAAAGCCTGGGATTTATGGCAATTAATGTAACAAAGAGCTACAAAGAATAAGAAATAGTGGAGAGCCATGATTACCTACGTCCTGAAACGAAATAACAGAAGGTTACTTTTATAAGCCAGATGCTGTTCCATCGACTGTAGCGGCTTACAGTCATATCACGTTTAAATGCAGGTTCTTGCAATATCACTGAAGTAATGTCTAACCTGACCAGTATCAATATGAGTGACAACTTAGAAATATCAGATGGCATAAGATCGGATGTGCGGGGGCTTTAATGAATAACGACTCGGACTTGAAAGACGGAGACCCGAGTTCGAATTCCAGCCGGTTTCTTTATATTCCCTTATTGCGCAAAGAACATTGGTAGGGCAGCAAGAAATCGAAAGAAAAGTGAAAAAAAAAAACATATAGAAATAATCCTTTATGTGGCATGTCCATTCAGGTCGTAGGCGATCATGACTCTCCACAACTACCTCTCTTTTGTAGTTCTTAATAAATGACTTTCCGCTATTTCTCTTGAAACCCTATTTCTCCACACCATCTCACTAAGAATGTTATGCGTTGTTCTCCTCTATCTTGCTTTTAATCTGACCTGTAGTGAATCAAAATTTCCAAGCACTCTTTCCTCATTATGTGCCCTAGAAATATAATATAATATTACGTATAAACACAAGCGATCAACGAACTAACGGGTAGACATAATTGCAATGAAAATATTTAGAGAAAGATCAGAAGGAAGCCATGTCACACAGCACGGAAAGGAACGAAAACATTAGAGATATTTATTTGGATTCTCCTAGAATATCTTTAGATATATATTACACCAGCTCCAGACCAGATCTGGCAGTAATATTCAGTGTAGGGACAAATGGTAGATTAATAAATATGTCAGGTGAATTGAGACGAGAAAGATTTATGAATGTGTAAGGGGGATCCTGGAGATTTTTTAAACGTGTAAGATGAATTCTGACGGAAAAAAAAAAAATTTATAAAAGTGTAGGGTGAATTCAGACAAAAAGATTTTAAAATGTGTAAGGTGAATTCTGACGCGAAGGATTTATAAACGTGTAAGGTGAATTCAGACATGAAAGTTTTATAAATTCAACCGATAAAGCTTTATAAATTTATACGGTGAATTTAGACGAGAAAGCTTTATAAATGTGTACGGTGAATTCAGACGAGAAAGCTTTATAAATGTGTACGGTGAATTCAGACGAGAAAGCTTTATAAATGTGTACGGTGAATCCAGACGAGAAAGCTTTATAAATGTGTACGGTGAATTCAGACGAAAGCTTTATAAATGTGTACGGTGAATTCAGACAAGAAAGCTTTATAAATGTGTACGGTGAATCCAGACGAGAAAGCTTTATAAATGTGTGAATTCAGACGAGAAAGCTTTATAAATACGGTGAATTCAGACGAGAAAGCTTTATAAATGTGTACGGTGAATCCAGACGAGAAAGCTTTATAAATGTGTACGGTGAATTCAGACGAGAAAGCTTTATAAATGTGTACGGTGAATTCAGACGAGAAAGCTTTATAAATGTGTACGGTGAATCCAGACGAGAAAGCTTTATAAATGTGTACGGTGAATTCAGACGAGAAAGCTTTATAAATGTGTACGGTGAATTCAGACGAGAAAGCTTTATCCACGGTGAACAGACGAGAAAGCTTTATAAATGTGTACGGTGAATCCAGACGAGAAAGCTTTATAAATGTGTACGGTGAATCCAGACGAGAAAGCTTTATAAATGTGTACGGTGAATTCAGACGAGAAAGCTTTATAAATGTGTACGGTGAATTCAGACGAGAAAGCTTTATAAATGTGTACGGTGTCAGACGAGGCTTTTATAAATTCGGTGAATTCAGACGAGAAAGCTTTATAAATGTGTACGGTGAATTCAGACGAGAAAGCTTTATAAATGTGTGCATGGTGAATTCAGACGAGAAAGCTTTATAAATGTGTACGGTGAATTCAGACGAGAAAGCTTTATAAATGTGTACGGTGAATTCAGACGAGAAAGCTTTATAAATGTGTACGGTGAATGAAATTCAGAACGAGAAAGCTTTATAAATGTGTACGGTGAATTCAGACGAGAAAGCTTTATAAATGTGTACGGTGAATTCAGACGAGAAAGCTTTATAAATGTGTACGGTGAATTCAGACGAGAAAGCTTTATAAATGTGTACGGTGAATTCAGACGAGAAAGCTTTATAAATGTGTACGGTGAATTCAGACGAAAGCTTTATAAATGTGTACGGTGAATCCAGACTTTATAAATGTGTACGGTGAATCCAGACGAGAAAGCTTTATAAATGTACGGTGAATTCAGACGAGAAAGCTTTATAAATGTGTACGGTGAATCCAGTGTAAACGGTGAATTCAGACGAGAAAGCTTTATAAATGTGTACGGTGAATTCAGACGAGAAAGCTTTATAAATGTGTACGGTGAATCCAGACGAGAAAGCTTTATAAATGTGTACGGTGAATTCATACGAGAAAGCTTTATAAATGTGTACGGTGAATTCAGACGAGAAAGCTTTATAAACGGTGAATCCAGACGAGAAAGCTTTATAAATGTGTACGGTGAATTCAGACGAGAAAGCTTTATAAATGTGTACGGTGAATTCAGACGAGAAAGCTTTATAAATGTGTACGGTGAATCCAGACGAGAAAGCTTTATAAATGTGTACGGTGAATTCAGACGAGAAAGCTTTATAAATGTGTACGGTGAATCCAGACGAGAAAGCTTTATAAATGTGTACGATGAATTCAGACGAGAAAGCTTTATAAATGTGTACGGTGAATCCATACGAAAAAGCTTTATAAATGTGTACGGTGAATCCATACGAAAAAGCTTTATAAATGTGTACGGTGAATCCATACGAAAAAGCTTTATAAATGTGTACGTTGAATTCAATCTAGAAAGCTTTATAAATGTGTATGGTGCTTCCTGTCTTGAATGATTTATAAATGTGTCAGATCGATTCTGACAAGAAATATTGTCTGGCACGACACAGTGAACCAACATTCCTTGCAACAATCCCTGTGATGAATTCAATATAATCAACCTTTTACTTTTCTGTGGAAAACATGATACTCTGAAGGGGCAATGAGTTGGTCTCCTGGTGTTTAGCCAACCATGCTGATGGGTGGCATGAAAGATTCTCGATGATAATTCAAAGATAGCTATTTCATTATAGTTTTTTTTTTAAACTTTGCAAGCCATTTCTTGCCACGGTTATCAACTGATCGGGGGTCATTTTCGAAAGGCGCTTCCAGTTCTACTTTGTCTTATCTCTCTTACTTAATATTGAGATGGGTGTAAATCGTTGAATAATCAACTGTACGTGGCGACTACTCCCGAGACAACTCACAACGAAGACAACTTAGAAAAAAATAATTTATTTATAACTGATTAAAATTAATTTATTAAGGTTTAAAACTTAAATTAGTTAAATTAATTTCTTCAAATGCGGCATTATGTAAAATATGAACCATTCTTTGTTTTTAATTATTTTAATAAAGTATCTGTTAAAGAAATTTATTTTTTAATGAAGTAATTTTGTCTTTATTTCACATTCGTTTTGGATTAAGGATTATATAATTTATAAACTTCCTAAATGCTGCAATGGATTAAAATATGAATGAAATCTAAAAATCATGTAATGTCTTCACATGCTACTCACAAAGAGTTCGTTTCTTTTACCTGCTAATAGCCACGAACGTTACTCTGATTTAATTTAGAAATATAAAATAAATACGGTTGCGGGTGGCTTTAGTTTTTTAAGATCAACTTCGAGGATTGGTAGGGAAAAGTGAAGAATGAATAAATTAATAAAAAAAAAAAGGAAAATGCCAAATTAGAATGAAATGAAGAAGATTTGAAAAAGCATTCATAATGCTGTTGAAGAAAGTGAAGACTAGATGAAAAGAAAGAAAGAAAACAAAATACCAGGTAAGAACGAAAAAATGAAATCTCTGAAAAGAAAACAAATAAATGAAGATCGAAGGAAAAAAAACTTGAAGAAAAAATTAAAGAAAAAAAAGAAAAAAGTAAAGAATGAAAGAAAGAAAGAAGAAAGGAACAATCTGATAAAAACAAAAAAAAACGAATAAGAAACAAAATAAGTAAAGAAATATCAAATTTAGAACGATAGACGACTGTGCAGATGAAGAAATGAATGTAAAAATAGACGAAAAGAAAGGAAGAAGAAAAAACAAAGACATTAATTGAGTATAAAAATTCAGGAAAGAAAGAAATTCCCATAAAAATAAGAAAGCCGTGAAGTAAGAAAGAAATTCCCATAAAAATAAGAAAGACGTGAAGTAAGAAATTCCCATAAAAATAAGAAAGACGGGAAGAAAGAAAGAAATTCCCAGAAAAATAAGAAAGACGGGAAGAAAGAAAGAAATTCCCAGAAAAATAAGAAAGACGGGAAGAAAGAAAGAAATTCGCAGAAAAATAAGAAAGACGGGAAGAAAGAAAGAAATTCGCAGAAAAATAAGAAAGACGGGAAGAAAGAAAGAAATTCCCAGAAAAATAAGAAAGACGGAAGAAAGAAAGAAATTCGCAGAAAAATAAGAAAGACGGAAGAAAGAAAAAATTCCCAGAAAAATAAGAAAGACGGGAAGAAAGAAAGAAATTCCCAGAAAAATAAGAAAGACGGGAAGTAAGAAAGAAATTCCCAGAAAAATAAGAAAGACGGGAAAAAAGAATGAAATTCCCAGAAAAATAAAAAAAAAACGTGAAGAAAGAAAGAAATTCCCGGAAAAATAAAAAAAAACGTGAAGAAAGAAAGAAATTCCCAGAAAAATAAAAAAAACGTGAAGAAAGAAAGAAATTCCCGGAAAAAAAAAAGCCGTGAAGTAAGAAAGAAATTCCCCAAAAAATAAGAAAGACTGGAATTAAGAAAGAAATTCGTAGAAAAATAAGAAAGACGTGAAGAAAGAAATTCCCAGAAAAATAAGAAAAACGCGAAGAAAGAAATAAATTCTCAGAAAAGTAAGAAAGCCGTGAAGTAAGAAATAAATTCCCAGAAAAATAAGAAAGATGTGAAGTAAGAATGAAATTCGCAGAAAAATAAGAAAGACTGGAATTAAGAAAGAAATTCGCAGAAAAATAAGAAAGGCGTGAAGAAAGAAAGAAATTCTCAGAAAAGTAAGAAAGCCGTGAAGTAAGAAAGAAATTCCCAGAAAAATAAGACGTGAAGTAAGAAAGAAATTCCCAGAAAAATAAGAAAAACGGGAAGAAAGAAACAAATTCACAGAAAAATAAGAAGTCATGATGAAAAGAAATAAAGAATTCATAAATATTTTAGAACCAATGGCTTTGCAAAATTCCCACAAATTGGAAATTGAAAGGGATTTTAATGAAGATAAAATGCCTATAATTCAACGATCCAACTACAGAACATATATATGTGTGTGTGTGTGTGCGCGCGTGCGCTTTCGCTGACGTGTGGATAAGTAAAAACGAAATACCTGTAAAGAAAAAGTAAGGATTTGTCTAAAATAAAACTGAAAAGACGCAATAATATTCCCTACCAATCTTGCAACTAAATATGGCGGTCTTGGTGTTATCATCATCAAATGCTAATTGGTTATTTATGACGTCACCCGGGGTGAAAATATTAATCCACTCATAAATGCAAAATTCAACCGCAAATATGTTATTTCATAAAACACAGCCTTACAGGTGTTGCCCCCTCCCATTGATATACAATTATTACCTAGCTGCCCTCTGATTAGCTATTGACAGTAAGAAAAAGTTTCCCCCTAATATCCCGAAAGGCATTATTCGTGGTTCATCAGAGACCATTGAGGTGGAAGGAGAAAATACTAGACGTGTACAATACGCCAACTTTCCAATGTAGGTTGAGTCATGAAACACGCAGGCATGCTTGCTGAGAAGTAATTTTATCTGTCAGCGCACAGTATTTTATTATAAGCAAATCAGTATGAAGATTTAGATGCTCTTACAGAATCCCAGATATATATATATATATTCCCTCACCCAGTAGCATGACGTTGAGTTTCATACACAACGCAATCTTCAGGTGCTGGGTAGAGACTTCGGTTATATAATATCAATTTTAATAAAAATGTCTAGTTAACGCAAAGTTGGCGGTGTACATATATTATACGGGTATTAACTGTTTTTCTTTATCTAAAAAAAAATTATATTGTATTTAAACTAGACGGAATTTATGCTTTATATTTAAAATAAACAAGGATTAATATTTTTATTTAATAACTAAAATAAACGGAGATTCATTGTATTTTTATATCAAAAAATTAACACAGTTATCTCTGTATAATATGATATTCAAAAGGGATACAGGCAAGTATTTATAGCCTTCTGTCTTTAGGAAAGATATATATATATATATATATATATATATATATATATATATATATATATATATATATATATATTAAGAAATAAACTCTTAAGGTGTGCTATATTTATGGGGAAAAGGTCAATATCAGAGACAGAGCGTTTGTAAATATAAAAGTGAATACTGAAGTCAATACTTACTGCTTTATTTTAAAAAAAACAGTGTTCGATACAGAAGTAGAGCCTAAATTATTTTTTAAAAATATAATTATTATAATAATAAAATTCCTAGCTTCAATCAAAAAATATTTTCGTACTAAACGCAAACTTATGAAGGTCTTTAATAAAAACACCCTAAAATTAAGTTACAGCTGTACTGAAAATATAGAAAGGATTATAAAGAAAACATAATAATATGATCCTGAAAAACATGCATGCCAAAATTAAATAAATAAAGATCCTAAATTAAGCTGGCGGTGTACATATATTATACAGGTATTAACTGTTTTTTTGGGGTTTTTTTTATCTAAAATATATATATTAAGAAATATACTCTTAAGGTGTTCTATATTTATGGGATAAATTGCTCAATATCAGAGATAGAGTGTTTGTAAATATAAAAATTAAACATAAAGTTAATACTTACTGCTTTTTATTTTAAAAAACAATGCTCGATACAGAAGTGGAGCCTAAATTATAATTACTTTTTAAAAATATGATTATTATATTAATAAGCTAGAAGAAAAATTCCTAGCTCAAATCAAAAAATATTTTCCTACTAAACGTTAACTTATCAAGGTCTTAAATAAAAACACCCTAAAATTAAGTTACAGCTGTATTGATAATATAGAAAGGATTATAAAGAAAACATAAAAAAATCCTGAAAAACACGCATGCTGTGGACTGACGATTGCGTCTAGCATAAACCAGCCTGTCGCCTCTAAATTTGACTGCAATGTTCACACACACACACACACACACACACACACACATATATATATATATATATATATGTATTCCCCGCCCCCGGTAGCATGGCTTTGAGTTTCATGCACAACGCAGTCTTCACGTGCTGGGTACCTTTACATATATATATATATATATAGTAGCGAGCATAAAGATCAGAACGATGTTAAGAAAAAGTTTAAATGTGAAATAACTTTTTATTTTAAAGCTTCAAAGAACATTTTTTAAGGAAAAATAAGAATATAAAGGTAAATTATATAATTCCAAAAATATAAAGCTAATAAACTTATTTTGATAAAATTATAAGAATAATTATTTAACATTCGAAAAAATACATGATGAAAACATCAGAACGATTAAACAAATCCGTAAAATTCAATAATTATTTTGCATTATTGAAAAATGTTTAGGGTAGGAATATAAAATAGGGTATTTTACTAAATTACACCGACTCTGTACTGGCCCTTGCATTGTAAGCATGGCGAAAAAAATCTGTGACGTCATTGGAACTTAGAAAACTGATAGTCAAATTATGTAATGAAGATAAACTTTCGATTGGGCATATTTCAAAGACTGTGGGGAAATCTAAGTCTTATTCATAGTATTTTAAGAAAACTTGAGGAAACTGGGTCATGTGAAGCGAAGAAACCACTTGGCAGGCCTAGGAAAATTACTGCATTAGAAGACAGATGGATTGGTAATGAATCAAAAAAGGATGGATTTGCGACAGCAACCGCTTTCTCTAAAAGAGTTAATGTTAACCTTAGCATTAAAATATCAAGATACAGTATTTCCAGAAGACTTCATGAAATAAATTTGAACAGTCGAGTAGCCTACACGAAGCCTTACATTTCTAAAAAGAATCAAATGAGCCGATTGAAATTTGCCACTGAACACTTCATATGGACAGACAGTGGGATTGTGTTCATTTCAGCGATGAGTCAAAGTTTAACATGTTCGGTTGTGAAGAGAGAAGGTTTGTTCGACGCAGTACTAAGGAACGATATTCGCCTCAGGGCACTAAAAGCAGGGTTAAATTTGGAGGAAGTCTGATGATGTTTGGCATGATTTCATCTGATGGTACGGGGCCTCTTGTTAGGCTACACGATGAAATTAACGCAACTGTATACAAAGAGATATTGAAGAAACCTGTACCTAATTTGAGAACTACAATTAATCAACCAGCTCTATTTATGCAAGATAACGCGCCGTGTCACACAGCGAAGTCTATTAAGACATTTCTTTCTGAGCAGGATTTTACTGTTATGGAATGGCCTGCTCAAAGTCCAGACATGAATCATATTGAGAATATTTGGAAGTTACTAAATGAAAGAGCTAAGGAAAAGAATCCAACAAACATCGAAGAACGATGGACTAATTTGAAAATAGAATAGGAGAAAATATCCGTTAATGAATGCAATACATTAATTCGCTCATGTAGCAAAAGATGTCAAGCTGTTATTGCACGTAAAGGTCTACACATCAAGTACTAATGAATTATGAACGCTATTTTCATTTGGATATGTTGTATCCATTATAATTGTATGATTTTGTTAATCGTTCTGATGTATTGATCATCTATTTTTTTTATTGTTTTATATTTATTCTTATAACTTTATCAAAATAAGTTTATTGATCTTTATATTTTGGAATTATATAATTTTCCATAGAAAATATGCGTTCTCCGACAGGAATAGAACCTGTGTCCTATACGGAACTGTCATATAGCCTGACGTGCCTTAACCAATTGGGCCACAGAGGAGAGTTCGGTTAGCAAAGTCGATTTTACTGTTTTTAAACCACAATTCTCCATGCTTTTCCTCTCATGAAAATTTCTCGGACATTCAGGCCGGTAAATATTGTTAATCCTGTTTATTATAAAACAGAGCATTTACTTAAATATTTGTATCTATAAAAAGAACGTATAGATATAAAAAATGTCTTAAAATAATTGTCGGAATTTGTCCATTATATATATATATATATATATATATATATATATATATGAATTTCTCAGAATCAACCTACAGAAAAGGCAATATGTGTAAAGGAATATATCAAAAAATCAAAAGAAACCGGTTGAATCCGACAACACAACAATACAAAACAATATTTCTACACATGAAAATATTCTCTTCAAATTTCAGTTGACCACATGAATATACAATAGCGTTTCTAAATTCTTCTAGTTGCTAACGACATTTTGTTTGTTGTTTATAGATACTTTGTTTCAATAAATACACTTGTTTGTTTTTTTTTGGGGGGGTTGCCTTGAAAAAGTCCACATTGCACTAAACGAGCCGACTAAACAGTTTTCCTATTGACTTTTTCCTTTATACATATTGTCTTTTTCTACAGGTTAATTCTGAGAAATTTACATATCTATGATTGTAAATGTGAAAGGCATAGTCTAGTAAAATATTAAATAGATTGGTTGACCCTATGACCTTCTAGTCGTACTGCTGATAAGGTTTGAAATAATACAGTATTTTGGATTTTCCCCAGAAATATATGAATGTGTGGGTCAGGATAATACCACTACCAGATCTAAATATTCCATACAATCAGAACTTGGGAGATGGAGTTCCAAAAACTGGACGGTATCTTCCACCAGTTTGTTTGTTGTTTATAGATACTTTTTTTCAATAAATTCATTTGGTTTTCTGCCTTTAAAAAGTCTATATTAGATGAAAAGCGTCGGCTAAGTCTACAATTTCCCTATTGTCTTTTTTATCTTTATATATATATATATATATATATATATATATATATATATATATATATATATACATTAAGATTTTTGACAATTTATTAAAGACATTTTTATGTTTTAAAATTATTTTTTATAGATACAAGTATTTAATAAATGTCTGTTTATAATAAACAGTATTAAATAACATTTCTATGAAAATTTCTCGGACATTCAGGCCGGTAAATGTTATTTAATACTGTTTATTATAAACAGAGCATTTACTTAAATACTTGTATCTATAAAAAGAATGTT